TTTTTTTATCTCTTCGGGATTCTGTAGGAACTCCTGCTTCGCCACGTTTCTTCTTTGGCGAAGAGTGAGGGTTTTTGTCGAGACCCAAGGGTGCTTTGTCTTTTTGCTTAGACCGAGTATATTTGCTGTGGCAGCGACGATACCCTGATTGAGCAGTTGGTAGAGTAACTCTGGGTCTTGACTGGCAGTGTCTTTTACAGCAGCGAATGTGCTGTTGATCTCGTTTCGGAACGCCGCGCAAGTTTTTGGATCTTTTAACTTGCTGATGTCGAAAGGTGTTCTCCCCATTCCGTGCCGTTCTCCGAGTCATGGCTAATTGGAGGCGGAGATTTGCGGCCACCATGAAGTCTGAAGTGGTCTGAACCAGTGTCAGCTCGGGTGTCGTGAAGATCACTTCGCTACTTCCTGCTGATCAGTATGTAGTCCTGCCGGCTGCTGAAGCGGTCACCCGGCGCTGTCCACGTCAGCTGATGAATCTGACAACGGAGAAACAGCGTACCGCCGACGACGAGGCCGTGCGTAGAACAAAGTTCCAATAGTTGCCGACCGTTGTCATTCAGCGTCCCGCAGCCATCATGGCCTATCGCATGATGCACGTTAAAATTGTCCGCGCCGACCTGCGCGTTCATGTTTCCGATGACTTTCGATAATTGTTGACGTGGTAAAGAACCAAAAACTGCGTTTAAACATGCGTAGAATTCCCTTTGATCGCCCGCTACATTAGTGGGGAGGGGGGAAGCTTAACGACAGCAACGCAGACCTTCACGTGCTTTGTTGCAAGATGGCAAACAAGCATATGGCAGTTCGTATACTCGACGGAAGCCAAGATTTTCACTACTCTTGATGTCAGCAGCACTGCCACTTCTGACTGTCGTCTGGTCGTCTGGAATCTGGGTTCCCTGACCATTGAAGCCGTCTTCCGTTTTACAGACGATCTTCTCCGTGGTTGGGGATGTGAGTTTCCGAGGTCGCAAGGAGTTCGAGGTGATGCCGCTTAGCTGTACGAATAACGTTATCCTGCTTGTTGCCTTCGTTGAACGTTCGCGCGTTTCAGCAGGCGATTCTGATCTTCTCCTTGATGTTGATCAGCTCTAGGTCAGAAGTTTTTGTGTTAAACGTTCGGATCGGTGGACATACACCATTCGTCGCACAGACGTCGGTAACCGGGTCACTAGCGGAACGAAAGCGCTACCCGACCGTTTTCGGCGGCTAACAACCAAACGGTACGCCAGACTGAGAGTTTACGAACTAAGACAAGTTGAGTTTGGTCATGTAGTTCTGCTTGACAGCTTCAGGATCTTGGAAAGATTTAGCTGATGATGTGATAATCGTTTTCCTGAAGAGCTTGGTTCTTTCCTAAATATTCGCATATGTACAGCACGTAGAGCAATTTCGGGACAGACATTCAAAGAAACCGACTTACAGAGGATGCAAAATGCTGTTAAGGATGTTTTTTTCGATCCTGATGCTGTGTGCCTTTGCAAATTTTGTCACTTAATTCGCTGGGTCATTAAATTATGGACCGCTGATTCTGCAGACCATTTTTAATGACCTACGAAGTATTCATAAAGTCGGACGAAAGAAGTACAAT